AGGGCTTGGATAACTCCCTCATCCATGGGCTGTAGCAGTGCTGTGGTGTTACCTGGAAAAAACTCCAACTGAATCAATTTCAGTCCTGTTACAGTCCCATGTCCAGGGCAGTTGTCAATGAGGAAAAGGACCTTCTTATTTTGCCACGAAAATCTTGTGTCCTCTGTGTGCAGCCATTCGCTGAAGAGGGCTTGGGTCATCCAAGCTTCCGAGTTGAACTCGTAAGTGACGGGCACGGTAGTCATGCCCTTGAAACAGCGAGGATTTTTCGATTTTCTATCACAAGCAGCTTCAACTTGTTGCTGCCCGACATATTTGCTTCAACAAGAACAGTCAGTCTGTCTTTGATCAATTAGCCACCTGTGCACAATTCACCTTCAAGAATTGATTTTGATGACAGGAGCTTAAAGAAAGTGCGGTTTCATTGATGTTGTATATGTTATCGTCCTTGAACTGCTGCATTATCTCCGGCAGTCGTCCTGCCCACCAGTCGCGACACGCAGTCTCGTCAGCTGCTGGGGCTTCTCCCGCAATAGTGCGAAAAACGAGGCCATTTCTTTAAGCCTTGTCAGCCAACCTTCACTGCACAAGAAGTCCTTTATCCCGAGCTAAAGAACAAACTATTCTGCTTTGGCACGGATCAGTGGCCCGTTGATGGGAACACTCTGGCTCCGGGCTCTGTTAGGACACAAAACCGGACACCTCTCCAGTTCCTTGTGGTCGTCGTGACGCAGACTTTTCTTCTGGGGCCCGAATCGCGAAGTTTCAAAGGCATTTCGTAGCTTGTCCTTGTCGTGCAGGATCCTCATTAGGCAGCTTTTTGAGATGCCGTGCTTCGTCGCGAGCGCAATCTTCAAGTATGAGCCACTTTTGAAGTCGAGAATTATGTCCATATTTTTTTCCAATGTCAGCGCATGGTGTGCCTGCCCGCTTCTGCGTCGCCATTGAAACAACGGTGGCGAGGCCTCAACTTCACGAGCGCTTGTGAGCCACCAAATTTGGAAGACACCAATGCAGTAATGAAGCACAATAGGTACCACGATGGCAGGAACGATGCGGCTGTAACCTAGGCAACTCGAAAATAGACCGAATGACTTGATCAAGAACCGCAATGTAGCATTTGTTGCGACGACTACCAACGAGACAAGGCTTACGACGACTAGGAAAAAAAAAATAACTTTCAGAACCGGAAAGGGCTGATGCTTATGGAAATGGGTCTGCCAGAAGTTCTATTTTTTGTTCCGTTTACACGGTGAAGCACAAATATTAGTTCCGATTAACGAAAGTTTTTTTTTACCTTACCTGAATACAAAACCAACCAAATTACTGGCTACTGTTCTGTTTAAGTGGCAATTCCGTTTAAGCTATTTCCGTTTATCATATTCTACTGCCCTTCTTTATACCCAACATTTCGTTAGATCTGAGTTTGTTATATCGAGGTTTGAGCGTATCTGGATTCGCCTTGCACCTAAAATTTTGCTATTTGCACCGCTCTACATATCATCTTATCAAATGTCATCAATTTATTCTCATGGGCACCCAGTGTCGCCACACAACCCCTTTACTATAGTTGTTTCAAGTTCATTTTTTCTCCACAAGAGTACCAACAAAAATTTGGAGCTACAGTGGAACTTCGATTATACGACTTTTAGGGGACCACGCAAAATCGTCGTATAATCCAGGCGTCGTAAAATCGAATAACCAAGAATATAGGCACTGATGGTCGTTGTTGCCACACAACAGTTGTCACATAATGCGTAAGAAAAACCACGGCACAAATCTACGCTGCTTCGATGAAGATAGATTAAATTACTTGAAAAAATGACAACCACGCTTTTTATCGGAGGTGTGAACGAATCTTTATTCTCACCTTTTAAAAAAATCTGTGATTTTTTTCTGCGAGTTTGCCCAGCCACGATGCATCAGCTTTCTTTCGAGAGCTGCGACATCTGGCAGCAAGTCGCCGATCTCGTCGCGTGCGCAAGCAAACCGCCGAATGTTGTTGACGTAGCACAACACATCCGCGTACGTCGGAACGGACGCACCAGCCTCTGAAGTGTCATCCATCTCTTCCTCGTCTGAAGTTCCCGCAGTGTCAGGGCGCACAGTTTCGATAATGTCATCCAGCAACGCAATGTCGCGGTATTCGGTTCCGCGACATTGTGAGACGCAGCACTCGCAACCAAGAATGCGAAAGCTTCCTCGCACACCAATGTCCGAATACTGAAAATTTTGCACGGACTAGATGCAGGAGCTGCGGCGCACAGCCCACCGATGAGACAAATACGTGAAGGAATGGCTGAAAGGCAACAAGGCAGTGGGCCCATTCGATTTTTGCAAGCACGTAGGTCTGCGCAAGCTTCGATCAATCGCGAGGGGCTAAAACTCCCCAGCCCTCTGGTAGCTAGACAGCAGCTAGTTCCGGTTCCCGCGACCGTCCCAAACGTAGACAAACTCAACAATTGCAGTTCAACACGTCCGGTACAACGACGCAAAATCTAGTGAAAGTTATCGCATACTAGAAAGCGAGCTCGAAATTATCTGCCATGTTACCTGCTCACAGCTGTCACTACAAAACCACCCAAACGAAGGCAGAAAACAAAACAAAAAAGGTGCTAACGGAAGTGCGCAGTGCAATGCCACTAAGCAAAATGAATGCGCTCTGGCTGGCTCTGGATAACGTTGGCTCTGGCTAGCTATGGCCGACAGCGTGTCGAAAAATTGAAAAGGCCCTGTGGTGGCAGCGCGGATAGTGTGCTAGAACGTACGGAGGAAGGAACTCGGTTCCTCGGTTTCCCGACTTCTTTTCATCCAGCCGCAGTGTGCTTGCGTGCCAGCCTGCGTGCATCATTGTAGGGGTTTTTTTTTTTTTCCTTAAACAGTCCAGCTAAGCGTCGTACGAGAATGTTTGAAAGGTGCTATGACTGTCCGAGAGAGCACCAAGCTTGGACTTGCAACAAAACTCGAAGTCGTGTGCGCCTCTTGTGGCACCGTCGATAAATTATGGACATCACCCCGCAAAAAGGACACGCAGGCCTTCGATGTAAATGTCTGCGCCATAATGGCTATAAAGCAAATAGCCAAGGGGCAAACAGCTCTTAATGACTTTTGGGCTGCCATGAACGTCTCTTACAGAGGTCTTCACCACAAGACGTTTCAAAAGCACTTGAAAGAGACGTTCAGGAAGCCAGAGGCCACCGCTTTGGAGAAGTTTTATGCTGATTCTGCCACAGCAGTGATCAAAACATATAAAGAAATGGACCGCAGCTTCTGCAAGGACATCACCGTAGTGTACGATGGCACATGGCATAAGCGGGGTCACACATCAAACATCGGAGTGGGATCGGTAATTGACTTCTTTACAGGTCTCATCTTGGATGCTGTAGTTCTTTCAAACCACTGCCTTGGATGCCAAACAGGGCCCAAACCTGGAGATGCAGCATACGAAAGCTGGCAGAAGCACCACATTTGCCAGAAAAACACAGACGCAAAATCGGGAAGCATGGAAGTGGAGGCAGGCTTGACTCTCTTTAAGCGGTCTGTATCCAAGCGTGGCCTGCGGTACACCGCTCTTGTGTCCGACGGAGACAGCCGTACCTTTGCTGCCCTCACAGAAGAGAATGTGTACGGGCTAGTGCCAATTGTAAAAGAAGAATGTCTGAACCATGTTCAGAAAAGGATTGGAAGTGCTCTTCGAAACATTGGGCAGAAAAGTGATAAGCCACTGAGTGGGAAGGGGAAGCTAACTAAAGCCCTCATTGAAAAGCTGACAGGATATTATGGTTGGGCCCTGAGAAACAATTCAACTGACCTAACAGCCATGCAGCGTGCAGTGATGGCAACATATCACCACGTCACATCGACTGACCAGGACCCTCACCATGAACTTTGCCCAGAGGGGGCTCAATCGTGGTGCCGCCATAGAGCTGCAGAGGCAAAGCGTGAGCCACAGCCAAAACATAAACACAGCCTACCAGACTATGTCGCTGCAGCTATGCTGCCCATCTACGAAAGACTGTCACAAAAGTCGCTTCTTCAGCGCTGCCTGGGAGCGAAGACGCAAAATGCATCAGAATCATTCCACTCCATTCTGTGGTCTCTGATGCCGAAGGAACAACACTCATCCTTGATCGCGGTAGAAACAGCACTGCATGAAGCAGTGCTGCACTACAATGCCGACTGCTGCAAAGCAACCCAAGTGATATCGGACTCCATTGGACTTCAACCAGGTCATCTGGCCATCCAGCGAGCTCGTGAAAAAGACGCTTTACGCCTAAAAACGAATTCTAAAAGACACCAAGAGAAGATGGAGGCCAGGCAAAAGAAGAAAAGAGTGCGCCAGGACACTTCTAGTTACTGTGCTGGAGCTTTTTGAAGAAAACACGTGTTTTGAACTTTCTCGGCCTGTTTTCTCAGAACGAATTTTTTTGCTAGTTGTGGTGCTGAGGAAAGCAAGAACTCGAAAACCGTTCATCAGATTTGTGTGCCGTTTTTTTTTATTCTGTTCCTGAATGACCTTGCAAGGGCGTAACAAGCTCCTTTTTTTTGAAAATTGGTGCTGTTAATTTATAATAAACAATTAATTTTTGATGAATCTGGTCATTACTGGTTACATCAAATTCAAAGTTGCGTGAAAATTTGGGGGGGGGGGGGGGGGAATTAAAAAAAACGGCTTTGTAGCGCCCTAAGATAGCTATCAAGGAATGACCACAATTAATTTCAGCTTTCTACTATGTCCTGGGATTTCTCACGACTCTTCCTCAGGCACCCATGTGAAGCACCCAGTTAAACCTCAATAACTCTGGAACTAAGAAACACAGCTTCGTGAAACTTAGCAGTTGTGCTAGTTTTATTGTAGTGAACAACCCCTGAAAGTTTCATCCAGATATCTTAAAAAATAAAAAAGTTCGGTCTCCAGGGTGGCCTCCCCCCTTAAAATTTTGCACCAGTACTCTTTTAACCTATACCAATGGAGGATGCATAGCGCAAAACATGTTTACCTCTATGTCGATGTGCCGGTATGGAGATGGTGCGCGGCTAGCCTCATCTGGGGCAACATTTCCATTTGGACCATGCAAGTAATAGTGATAAATATGCCTGTAATAAAAAGACAGAAACTCTTGAAGTCAGGTAACTTTGCCCAAACATGACACACCTACAACGTAGGCATTGGGGGCTATTCTCAACACTGTCAAATTTCACCACCTTGTCAAGGTTTTTTTTAACGGTCTTCATCAGTGCTCTGGGCCAATCTGGGTTAAACTCCCAAATTCGACAACATGGCAGAGTTAAACAGTATCGAGAATAGCACCAATGCGATACACTTGAAAATATCTCTGAGCAAGTTGAACAAGCAAAAGCAGTCATACAGTCACCAATGAATGTTTCGGACTCCGAAAATTCTGACTCGAATCTTTTGGACTACATAAATGTGCCACCAAGCACCAAGGTTTTCATAGATTCAATACACTTTCACAATAGATTGTTTTTTTAACGAATTTATGATTTAAATCTCAACTTGTTAGACTAACTCGCTTGCTTCGTGCCACTCCACTTAACTTTAAAAAGGCTGACATGTTGGATTTTTTGTTTCAGCGGCCTGTTGTGTATGCTCCGAAATTAGCAGCACACAGTCTTCTAGTTTGCGAGGCCATGCCTGCTCTTCCCTAGCTAACAAAATGGTTCAGGAGGCACTTTTTCTTTTTCAGTAAGCCTTATCATCGCCCCTACTTTGCGGATAGGGGGGGGGGTGTTTGTTTTTGATCGTCATTCTGCACATGATCGCGTCGGTGTCAAGCGTGTTTGTGATGCACCAGCCTCTCCTAATAATATTTTATGAAAGTCTAAACACTATGAGATGCATGTAACTCATTGTTTTTAGAAGGCAAGGAAACTACATGAGGTGTGTCAGGTGTTCTCTGCTGTTGCGGAAGCTCAGTGGTTACATTGCTCGACGTTCAATAAAGATGAAATGCTGGAGACCCGCATACTGTGTAGTGCAAGTGCACGCAAAAGAATCCCAGTCCTCAGCTGCCACACTGTGAAATACCAGCAGCCTCACTGAACAGGGCATTATTGGAGATTGTTCTAGGCTGCTACCAATATAAATAAACATCCCATTGATGCAAGTTTCTTGGACTGTTCAATCCTTCTAGTATATTGTAGTCTCAGTCAGGTCCGGAAAATTGATCAGCAACTGTAGTTTCCTTAGATTCTTTTCTTTTGTTCTTTCTGACCTTCTTCAGATGGAAAGCGAGTTTTATGAGAACTAAAAAAAAAAAACTCGTGAGGCTAGCCTTTCAATCTTAAATGCAATGCCGTCTACATTCCAACAACCCCTTCACATCTACAACATACAATGGAAGACAAGAGTGAACTCACGCCAGCTGAGAACACCAAGTGCTGAAGTTGTGTTTCAGAAACTGAACATGTTCACTAGAGATGCCCCAGATGACCACACAGGTGAACTGCTCTTTGTTGACTTCATCTGCTATGATTTCCTGCAGCCCTTCCTCTTCTATGCTGACGTGACTCGCATCTCCAGGCTGCAAATACAGTCATAAAATGCAACTCTTCATTAGGCTTGTGCAAATCGTAAATTTTAGGTTCAAGGCGAATAGTGTTTAGCCGAACATGTTCAAATAGACTTCAAAAATTATTCTGTAAAGCTTTATTATTTGAACTTGGTTATTTCAAAATCCCGCTCCATTCGAAAGTTTTCATATTTTGCAATGTAAGTTTGAGTGTCACGATAGATCCTAACCAACTGGCCCAACTTACCGTCTTACTACAATAGAAGGTATTATTGTCCTTTGGGTCATGATTTGACGAAGGGAACAGACTGCAGGTCGAATATTAAACTGTTTATTTGGGCCGAACTTGTGACCATGTAAAAGGAAAGCCAGATTACAGCAAGACACTGGCACTGATAGCGGCGAGCAGAGCGGCAGCCGTCGATCAACTGACAAGCAGTAAAGCGTGTCAGCATTTATACACGTGCCATCGAACATTATAGCGTCATCGCTAGTGGCCACGAAGGTTTCACAATAATCTGTAATGTCGGCGAAGTGAGCGTAATCTTAACAAAACGATCTTCTACAGTCTTGAAGCTTCTCAAACAAAGCAGTTGCGGTTTGCGCTTAGAATTACTGACAGTGTAATGGGGCGGTAACAAAACTCGAGGAAGGAATGTGCAATATGCTCGTTTAACTTGGAAGTGAGGCTTTGCAGCAGCGCGGATATTCCTTGAAAAAGTGGCTTCACGGTATAGCATTCAATCACAGCAGTGAAACCACTTTCGCAGGAAGATCAATCACGAACCAAGTATACACCTATTTGTTCAGTTATGATACTTTGAATACTTTAAATTAGAATCAAAACAATAATTGAATACTATAATATTCGTTTGACTATTTGAACTGCTCGAATATTTGCACAAGCCCACTCTTTCTCATAAGCCGAGCACTAACATTGTTTGCACATATTGGTGTCATGAGACAGGGCGATGAAAATGCCTTGAAATATGCACTGGCATAGATGTTTACTCCAAGCTGCAGTTGGTTGGCCTCTTGACCATGGCAGTAATTATACACTTGTCACACGGCACCTGTAATGTCATCCCTGCGAATGACATTAGGTGCTAAGGTCATTTTTGTTGCTGTTACGCAAGCATAGCGAAGGGCACTCACCCATTGAATGTGTTCACCAAACTCATGAAAGTGTGACATGTGTAATCTAATCAACAGACGCTTGACAACAGATTACGAAATCGACACCTTAAAGCAAGTGTAAACGATGCTTCTAAAACCGCTTCCAAAAGCTCGTTGCGAGGACGGTTTCAAACAAGAGTCTCTAGGCATCTCGATCGCGTGGATAAACTACCGATGCAAGATCCGAACACGGTGCATCGAGAAACGTGCACGAGCGCAAAAGCAGACGCACACGATTGGACAGTGACAACGTCAAACGCACAAGAAAAAAATGTGTAGGTCTCGCCAGCCAATGTGAAACGTAAGTTCGCCGGCCCCGTCAGCTAATAAGAGACTACATACGGCGCAATGAAAATGCGCGCTGAGCGAGAGCTGATGAGCAAGTCGAAAACAACCTCCCGAAAACCCCAACGACGGCCATTCTGCTTAGACGATGCCATTATGAGATGGCACAAATTACGCACAAAGGAAACAACTTAAAATCTAGCTCAAGATAGCGCTGCTCGGCCCACTATAATGCTCATGGCTTGCGCACAAAGTTCGAACAAATGTTTTTTGGGGGGCATTTTACTGCTCCTGGAGTGCTTTAAAGGTTCATTTTATCGCATTTTTCCTACCGAAGTGTTAGTAATTTGAGAGTAAGTGCTCTGAGGTACAAACAGCCCGAAAACAAGTTTTGCAGGAAATTAATTTTTTAGCCATTTTTGATCGTTGCATACCAAAAAAATGTTGTGGTGATGAAGAGGCAACACTTTTTGTGAAATATCAAGCAAAGTTGTGCATGGCCAAATCTTCATTCACATGAAGACGCAGTTTACAGAGCGCGGTACTGATGGCTGCTGCTACTTGGCAGCGGTGGCTACACTACAGCATGTGAAGTACTTGTGAATAAACAGTAATATAAAAAAGAACACCCGTTCTCTACACAATATCGACAGTTTCGCAACAAATATGAGTCTGTCGATGGCATGCCATTCTTTCATCAATGGCGACATGTGGCAGCATTGAGACTTCAGTTGGGCTGAAAAACAACAAAAAACGCATCGCTGGAATCCATGGAGAAGAAGGCACCAACGGCATTATTGAACCGCTCCCTCTAGTAGTGTTTTTTGCAACCAAGAATACTATTGGTCCAAAAACGATCCAACACCATTTAAGCAAGTGGACTAGTGAAATTCGGCGCAGTTGACACAAGGATATGCAATTGTAGCAAAATGGGACAGGGCACGATTGCACCACCAATGAACCATTTATGTTGACACCAATGGTTACTATCCGCATTTAATGAGACAGCGAGGACTTGTGCCTTCAAAATCTTGTTAATTTGACCCTTCTCAATTCGATGATCAACTCACCTTCACTACCCCGTGTAGAACTAGCAAAGACACCACACAGACAAGGCCTGTACTACGCCCTCATAATGCAATATTATGATGTATTTTCAGATCACCGAGCAAGTTGCAGATGTTCGATTTAAGGCCAAATGCGATATGAGATGGCATGGACATAAACATAGCTTCAAACACTTTTTACATATCCAGATGCCCATCTGAGCATGAGGAGCAGCCTAGCCATGAATATTTCAATTCTGAACACACTGTCCAACCACAAAACATGTGTCATCGTCGTTTCTTTTAGTCCCTGTCTGTTTGCAAAATTCAACACTTAGGACCATGAACTAACATGCCTAACTGTCAGTCACTCAGGCTAACTTTCCTTTTGTTTGCATAAAACCTTGCAAAAAGTGAAGAGATACCTTTCTGTTCAGTATGTTGCCAGAGTAGATGAGCCCTTTTTCTTTCTCACGCCGCTCAAACTCATCCTTGGAGATGACTAGCTCATGAACATCTTTGGAACCTTTCGGCTTTGTTATCATCTGTAAATGAGAGATGTTACAGCATGAAATGTCATGTCCTGCCACAAAAATAAATAACTACAAATGAATGAATGAAGCATTCAAGTCACAGTCTTCACCTTGATTTTTTTACAAACAGTACAGAAACAATTCCCATCACTTTCAATATTCACACTTCGAATATCGAAATTCGAGCCAAAGTGAATATTAAATAACACAATACACTAGAACATCGATTATATGACTTTCAGGGGACCGCACAAGATCGTAGCTAATCCAAGCGTGGTATAATCAAAACACTAAAAATATAGGCAGCAAATCTTAGCTTTGCCCAAAAAACGAGTACAGACCACTTGAGTAAGCTCTCAGCAGGATGAATAAGCCCTCAGCACGACCTTGTGCTTCTCAAAGAAAGGTAGAGGAAATTATTTCTGAAAATGAGGGCTATGGCAGCATTACTTAGTTTAAACAGGTGTGAACTAATCTTTATTCTCAAATTTTAAAAATCGAATCCAACATGTTTCTTTCTCTCAATAAATTCATTCCGAAAACTGCCTGCGAGCGAAAGGGTAACCACGTTGGCAACAATTTCCTGTTATAAAAATCAGACAAGTGTCATCACTATCGCATAATAGGAATGACACAAGAGTTTGCATAAACATGTGCGTAGAATGCCTCTGTGCACGATTTGAGTTGTGCGCATCGCAACTTGTAGCCTTGTGAAGCGCAACTGGTGATGTCTCATTGTTATCATGAACATTAACAAAACTAAAGTCGTTTTGAACAGTGAAAATAGCTGCATCGTGTACATTTGTGCGCTGAAGGTCTGAAGCTGTGAGGACCGCAAAGGCAGGTGATAAATCGACCAGAAAAAGTTTTCACGGACCAAGAACGTGAAAATATTCAGACCTCAAAGATGAGCTTTCTGGCAAGCTGAAGCTACTCTGTGTGGATAGAGCTTGTCTAGGTAACAACCCTTTATATGCATGCAATAAAGACATACACAGAAGCCCACGAACAGCTAGGAGAATAATTTTTTTAATCTAAGACACACTGTCTCACTTTCTACTTTTGTAATAAGCAACCTAGGAGAACGCAAGTTCTTATCTTTGCGCTTAAAAATATTTGGCTGGGGTTCAATACAAGTATAGTGCGTTTTTTTTTTTTTTTTTCTCAGGCAGAATCAGAAAGTCATCATATCATGTGCCGTCAGCATAAGATTTCTTCATATAACCAAGGTTTTTAATACATTATTTCCACGAAGATTTTGTCACAACAAAATTGATTCAACATTAAAAGCGAGCAGCCCCGAGATTAAGGAATGTATAATGGAAGTTCATTGTATTGTGTTAAACATGTTAAACCATCATATATACAAGCCAAACTACACGATAAAAGATTTCTCCAATAATATGATCCCAAATATGCCAAAAGCATCAGCTGGAAGGTCATGCAATAAATTAGAGCCAAGAAAAAGAAGCTGATGAAACAGCACTCTTATGAAGAATGCCTCGAAGCTATTCAGAAACGGATGCAAAGAGACCCACCCTTCCCCTTTTTCAACACGAAACTGTTTTATGCTGGGCTCCATCACAGCTCTACTGACTTATTTCCATCACAGATGTGACGTAAAATATTCACCAACAGATAGCAAAGAAAAAAATGAGAAGTTACGCGGCCGAGCCTCAAACCTGCGACGTCTCACACGCAGCGTGTGGTCTAAAACCACTGCGCCACGAAGTGCACATTCTCAAGCTTGCTAATGACAATCCATTTCATCATCATCATCATCATCATCATCATCAGCCTGACTACGTCCACTGCAAAACAAAGGCCTCTCCCATGTTTCGCCAGTTAACCCGGTCCTGTGCTTGCTGCTGCCGGTGCCGCGCAGTTCCCAACTGGACTTAAAAAAAAAAAAAAAAAAACGCGTGTTGATGGAACGGCATTAAGAGGCCTGGGGTGCGGCCTCACCGGTAACCACCGCCGGGAACGCACTCCCTCACCAGAGAAGGATTGGCCACCCTGGTGCAGTATCTGGCCATTACCTCCCACATGCATACGACAATCCATTTATATACACCATATACAATTTGGCAGTCCTCAGAGCTCTTCAACCTCAGCCCATTTTCGTCATCAGTAGTGAGACAAAGATAGCAAAATGCACGGTCTGAAAGTTGTCACTCCTTGCATATCGCTTCATGCGTGGGCATGTCTTTTGTGCACGTCCTGTGTATGCTCATTTCGTGCGTGCTTTCTGCTCGAGCTGGGCACTTCAAGTTTCCACCTGCTTGCCTTTCTTCAATTCGTTGCTGTAGCATTGATTCCTTCTCTCTTGTGGTGAAACGATGCATAATAAATGCGCAACTACCTCTGTGAAAACATGTTTCACTATCGTGTCATACTGATTCCAAGACAAAGATCAGCCTTTTTTTTGTTGTTGTTGCTGCTTTATGGAGAAAGATAAGAATCAACATTTTTTTTTATTTTGTATCGATTTCAGTGAAACTTGGCGAGTTTTTATGTATTGGTGTGCTGATTTCAAATAAATCTGACAGTGCAAAAAAGCAAGATGAGTTTACAGTAACGTGCAAAAGAATTTGTCCCCTGGTTTCTCTTACAAATTGTGAGCGAATTTGCATGCTAGTACTTGTTACACTTTTCAAAATACATTTCAAGGTATGCAATGCATTAAAATAAGCCCTAATTAGTCTGCATATTTTGTACCTCAAATTATCAATGGTCAGCCATGATGGTGTAGCAGTTAAGGTGCTTGGCTGCTGACCCGAAGGTCGCAGGTTCGATCTCAGTCCCAACGGTCGCATTTCAATGAAGACGAAATACGAGAGGCCCATGTGTGATGTCGGTGCACGTTAAAAAACACCTGGTGGTCAAAATTCCCAAGTGCCCCACTACGGTGTCTATTGTGATATCGTGGTTTTGGGACGTGAAAACCCAGCAGTTATTATTATAAATTATCTATGTGTCAAACTACAGTCGATCCCTTTTATAAGAGACACCGATATAAAAGACACAAGTGTGCCCACTATAAAGTAAGGGTTGATAAGAAAATGCATTCTCTACCTTTAAGAGACATCTCATATAAAAGACAACAATTACTGTCCAGAGCATGCCTCTTCTAAGGGGTTTAACAGTATTTCACAACCATCTTCAGAGACCCAGGATCGAATGTGGCACATGACCACACATGAAACAAGGTAGACTTACCCTCGTTGAGTTGCCAATGAAGAAAATAGCTTGTTTGCCACCAGCTCCAAAGTAAGAGATCTCACTGTTGAGAAACCGAGGCTTGTGCTGAGCCCCTTCATCAGAGTTACCGTCTTCTCTGAAATAGAAAAAAATTATATTGCAGAAAATTTCCCCAAAGCTACTCTAAAATAACAAATAACCTGCTATCAGCCAAGTTTCAAACAAGAAGAATACATCCATCGAAATTCCTAGTGTAGCTAAGCAACCCTTTCTTCCTTCCAGCAATCAAACCCCAAAATTTCTTAAAAGTCTAATATAACTGGACTACTTGCAGTTTTTCTGACAATCACCCAATAAGAGCTACAAGAACATGCCAATTTTATTTGTCAGTGCAAAGGCATATTTACCTGGTTTTAACATGAGCACAGTTTTTTGGGGTATGATAGAGATAGTATCGCGCATTCAAAATAGTGCAGGCACATAGAAATAATTGGGATTTTCGACAACAATGATAGCAGCACATATGGAGCTGGGCATTGTTTGCAGCACTAAGAGGTGTGCTTCCCCCCTTCCCCCTTATGAAGTACACTCAAAACCCGCAATAAAGAGATCCCAAGGCAACCACAATGAAGGAGTATCTTCAAAGCACCAGCGAATGCTCATAGGTGTCAATGCATTTCGTAACTCACGACAATGAAAAATATTTTTACCGCAATCCCTCAACGACAAAACTTTTGAAACGAGCGTGTGCAAAAATCTACTCTCATAACATTAACTGCATTCAAAAACTGCTGAAATGCATTCGTGGCACACTTAAATTGTGCAAATCTATATCGCCAGTGCAACTTGAGCATCCGCCATATTGTTTACAAAAAGAAAAAAAAAAAGGCTGGCAGCGATGATGATGACGCTGTTTTGCCCATCAGTAAGTGTGACTGCACAGTGTTCCAACCAAAAATGCTGCCAGCGAAAAAAAAAAAAAAAAAAAGTCCCGTGACCAGTTAAAATGTGTGCCTGCAGAAAAGGCATGCTCCTCTGCAATACAGAGGTGACACACGGAGAGCATGCTCCTTGCAGCGTCAGTATGTTGTGATGCGACAATTCGCCCATCCTTTCTGATAAAATAAAGAATTCAGTAACAGCCAGTATGACAGAACTTGCGATGGTGTTTTGGCTGGAAAACATCAATGAAGTTTTCGAACTGAGTTTTCAAAATAGGCGTTCAGGCAAGAACTAATTGTTAGCGCAACTGCCAATCACAAGTTTGCATACATCCAGAATTGCATCAGACTGACCTTTGCTATTTTTCTTAATACTTCCAGAAATAATGAAAAAATCATGATGCGCTGTTTCGAGAAAGATGCCACATGCTGCCTGCGTGTCACCACTGTGAAGCACGTCTTTTTTCCCCGAGCGCACACAAATTATTCACAAGACAGCCCTTCCCCACCCCCCCCTTTTTTTTTTTTTGCTGGAAGAAGTGTGGCTGGGGTGATTCATCTTTCATCAACTAGTGTCACTACGCTGCGTAGCCTTGTGGCTCATAAGGGCCGAGGTTCAGCAGACTTAAGACAAAATCAGCAACAGGAATTGGCACAAAGCGCCTAAAGTTTTCGAATTAACCGGACTGGTGCTGACTGCCACTTCAAATTATCCACTCAAACTTGCACTTCATAATACGGGACCACAAAGATCCTTCAAATTAAATGGAATTTCAAAATGACAGAGTTCTAAATGAATGAGGTTTACTGTATGTATTTAGTTTTATAGTAACTTGCACAGTTTTCGTTTTGCGCCGCGACTGTGTAAAGTATAGATAGTTTTGAGGCAAACTTTTATGATTCTGAGTCATTAATGGCTCGTATTGTTCCATATTAACTGTAGGATGCAAATAACTATCAAGAAAGTGTTAATAAGATATATAAGGGTTTAAAAGTTATTTACAGTCGCCGACCGATAAATCGGACACCGATAATTCGGACATGCTCGGTAATTCGGACATGCTCGTTAATTCGGACAGTCGCGCAGCACCGCCGATAGTCCAATAGAAGTAATGTGTAAAGACGACCGATATTTCGGACAGCTGCCAGATCTACATTCGATAATTAGGACCCTGCCCGACTGTCGCGCACGCCGAATCGGCAGCCATTATCTTCTCCGGCACTCATGCCATACAAAGTATGGCCTCAGAGATCCAAACGAAAGCTAATTGGTAATTTATGAGGCTTTATTTCGATCGCAACTTTATGCCTCAGAGATTTGTACTTGAAAATGCCGATCTTGGAGGCACGGCTCAGCTGTGGGGGATAGTATCGACATCGCAAACATCCCACATTCCGGTTCCTGTATACCCTCGCCACCCTCGCTGTGCGGCTATCGCCACCATTCTGTCACATGTGTGTGCGGTACAGCGTTTTGTTGAATTCTGTGCGCGTTCATATTTATTTTGAGACTTGCTTTATTTTCCCGTCCAGCTGTCTCACAAGATCTGAAGTTAAATGGCACCAACGGTGCCCTCACAGCCAACGTTATGGGCTGCGTCGACGAAACGCGGCAGATATACAACGCTAACCATGGCAAAGAAAGCAGCCATCATTCAGCAAGTGCTCAGAGGTCGTCTGCAAGTCGAAGTTGCTCGAGAGTTCAACATTTCGAAGCAAACCATATTGGACTACATGAAGAATAAGGACAAGATTTTAGGCGTGACGGAGACACCATCCCGAAGTGAACAAAAGAGGGTGCGCCAAGGTGTTCATCGGCAGTTGGAAGAAGCGTTGAGCATTTGGCTTAATGCTACCGTCGCTCAACGGGTTCCCGTTTCCGGCCACCTCTTGAAGCAAAAGGCCGAGACATTGGCACTTCGCCTTGGCATTGATGGATTTAGGTTCAGCGATGGCTGGCTCCGGAACATTAAAAAGCGGTACAACCTCGCTTTCAAAAAAATGTGCGGTGAGAGCGGTGGCGTGGATACCACACTGGTAGAGAACTACCGCGGTGGAAAGTGGGTGGAGCTGCTTCGGCGCTACTCGGCTAACGACACCTTCAACATCGATGAAACCGGGCTTTTCTATAAGCTACTACCGGAGAAGACACTCGCCTGTTCTGGAGAACCTTGCCACGGAGGTAAACTCAGCAAGAAACCAGTCACTGTCGTTGTCGGCTGCAACGCTTCTGGCACGGAAAAGCTCCCGCTGCTGGTAATCGGGAAATCGAAAAACCCTTGATGTTTTAAGGGTAAAAAAATTTGCCTGTCTAGTAAGAAGCCAATACGAAGGCGTTGGTCACGCAGAAGCTGTTCGAAGAGTATGTCGGAAAATTGGACCAAGAGTTTGAATTGCAAGAGCCCAAGGTCCTTTTGTTCGTAGATAACTGTACTGCCAATGCGCCGATCAGCTGTCTGAAAGCCATCGAGCTATAATACCTGCCGCCGAATACGACCAGTATTCTGCAACCTATGGACCAAGGTATCATCAAGAATTTGAAGGTGCTGTATTGTTCACGCATGCTGCAGCGCATGTTGCTCTGCTCTCTATTAGAGAGCCAGATAAAATACAACGTTGATTTGATGTCAGCCGTGAGCATGCTTGCTGATGCCTGGAAGGCAGTGTCGGCAGGCACGATCAGCAACTGTTTCCGGCACGCCGGATTTACGTTGCGTAGTGAGCCCGACACCGCCGACACTACAGCTGAAGAACCCGACAATGCAACTGAAGAGCCGGACCTGCCGCCCAGCGCATCGAGCTCAGGTGCGGACGCTATCGACGACCTGCGAGGCTGCGGTGTGCCGATTCCCGACACTGTTACGTTTGAAGACTGTGCAAACGTCGACAGTGCAGTGTCGTCGTGTGCCGAGTTGAATGACGGCGACATAATTGAGCAGGTTCCGCAACCATCAAACAGCGGTTCTGACTCTGACGATGATGACGCACCGTGTGCTCCGGAGCCGTCGCATGCGGACCTGTCTCGAGCCCTTGCTGTTCTTTCGTCGTCGTACAGCGATCCTATCACAGTGGAGGAGATACAGGCGGACTTGCTTGCACGTAAGCGGAAGTGCATGCAGCAACGCATTAACGACTTTTTTCAGCCACCGGTAGATTGAAGTGTCAATAAATGTATTTTTTTTTCAGACGCATTCGTTTTTTCGGACTTTCAATAATTCTGACTTATTTGTGTTCCCCGAGGAGTTGGAATTATCGGTCGTCGACTGTATAAGACAAAAAAATTTTACGTGAGAATTCTTAATATCCTCAGCCAACACTAATTTCTTGTTTTATGTTCGTAAAAATTATACAGACGATGTGGGCGATATTAAGTTTTAAATGTGATACTTGCATCCCTCACATGTGAAGGAACATATGAAGGAACACATGTGAAGGAACACAAAATTTCATCATGATCTCGCTATCAGTGCCAAAACATGAAACCTAAACTCAAGAAGTTGCCTAAAAATGTATCTTTAGAAATATGCATTTCAAAGATACAAGTCATTGTTCATCTATGATTTCTTCCATCATGAGAGCCTGGCAATCATTGTTATTTTGAGCGTATGGCTTTCGTGAACTGCTCATGCAAAATGCAATGGCAACCAGCCAGATGGTGATTTCAAGGACACTCTAGACAATGAGCTCTTATTAGTTTTTAGCAGCCACATTGTGGTCTTTGAAAGCGATGTTATCCTACTTCGAGTTTAATTACAATATTCAATTTTTAATGAGCTCTTTTAGTATTTAGCAGCCACATTGTGCTGTTTAAAAGCGATTTTATCCTACTTTGAGTTTAATTACAATATTCAATTTTTTAATGAGCTCTTTTAGTATTTAGCAGCCACATTGTGCTGTTTAAAAGAGATTTTATCCTACTTTGAGTTTAACTACAATCTTCAATTTTTTTGTTGTGAAAGTAGACAAACTGAACTTGTAAAAGCAAATGAAAACAAAATATATGTAATCTTGAAAAAAAAAAGGGGGGGGGGGGGGGGGTTCGACTCGCGTCTCCCCTTAAAACAATGGGCATCTGGATGGGAGTCTTTGAAATAATTGTTAATCAGAAAAAAATCGTTATTATGAGATTCGCTACAACTAAATTTGCGTGTAACACATACGCTTGCTGGTACCAGAGTGAATTGGTCTAAAGAGAAGTACAGTCAGTCGATTCAAATTTAAAGGGACCTCTGAATTTTGTTTGAATTATCAAGAAGTTTGAATTATCAGAAGTTCTCAGATATATGGCTCTGGGTGAAGTGACACCACAAATTATGATTAGGCATTGATTTTATCACATTTAAAAAATTTCTAAGCGTTTTTAAACTCTAACTAAGCACAATGAACAAAAAGCAAAAGTGCAAGGTCTACAAGTTTACTGGCCATTTATTGCTTGTCAGACCTGTTAAGGAAATCATGAATTGCCAACTGCTTCCTTGTTATATGTGCCTTCATCACAAAGCTCTTTATACCTTTTTGACAACGCCACAGTGTACATGCCCTCTTTCTAGCGCGAATGTCACCAAACGACGCTTTTATACTCAGGGACAACTTTCTGTGGCGATGAAGGGAAGGCTACAGAACAAAAGTAGGCATGTACCACTGCTGAAGAATAGTCCCACAAATGCGCCAGTGTTTTTCGTGTGAAGATAATAAAAAACAACATTACTTTATTTTCTACAGGATACCGTTTATTTAAAGACGCCGCACGAACCAAAGAGATATTAATATTTGTTTTGTTTCATGAAGTGCCATTTCGGATTTTCGCACCTCTGAAAACTGCACGTTTTAGGTGCAGCTCACAGTGAAAATGACGTCTTGGTCTTTGGGTAAGTGCTCATCACTCTCCAGCTATTTTGCTAAATCGCCGAAGGAGCTTGTGTCGAATTTCGCTCACAAATAGCTGTGTAAGCAGACATAGCAAATTCTATGAAGCGGTATTATTTGAACATGGCCGGCAACCGAGTCGAGCAAGACTTCTTCACAGAGGAGTACATGTGGTTTAGCTCCACCCCTGCAGCTTTTTCTTCATTGCCACAGAAAGTTGTCCCCGAGTAAAGCAATTGCACCTATCAAAAACCTAGCAAAGCGGCACAGCGCAGCACAGGAAAACGAGATGGATTCTGAAATGCACCCAAACCACTACGAAAAGAGATTACCCAAAAAGCTCGAAGCTCGAAATGCAGACGAGTGCTCGAGAGAGAAAAACTGATGTCGCTGCTGAACTCACACAAGCTGCAGTGCCTTGTCCTTGCGAATGAATTTGGACAGCCGGTAGATGGCCCAGTTGTTGAGCTGCCAGGAGGTCATGCCACAGCCATTGTCCAGTACAAGGATGGTGCTCCTCTCCTGCTGCGAGCTGTCGTCCAGGTACTGCAGAGAGCACATCATCACACAAGGCACACAAGCAGAGACATGTGCACTTCAATAGATTATATATTACAGTGAAGCAGTTTTGAACTGTAATCCAAGGTCGTACAGGCAGCGGAGATGAAACGGAAAGAGGGTTCTTGCGTGAATAAGCCTTCTGTGTGCCAGAAGAATAAAATAATTTAATACATTGTTTTTTTTTTCTGTTAATCCCTGCTTATACTCGTTCTGGCGTCTCCATTTGTGTTAGGTGCAAAGCACCACAGACTTGTTGGAGTCTCCTGTCACCAGGTGAGTCATGTCCTCACAGTTCATCACAAAAATTGGCGTGCGTCACAATGAGTAAATCAAAGTAAACATCACTGGTCCACGAAAATGAAGACACAACAAATAGCCAACGCCATCAGTGGAGCGGAAACACAATTTCCTACATGTCCATGATTCACTGTGAGTCTACATGATTCACTGTGAGTGAATCTCACAGAAATGCTAAGAATCATTCATTATTTTGAAAAGCCGTCGTAGTGAAAGTATTAAAAATTTCCGCAAATGTAACGCAAACATGTGAGTCACCTACCCGTGCTGTGTATAGATTCACAACCACGTTATGGTCAAAAAGGTGAAAAAAAATTACCAGGAAATATTATCGAACCAGAGCTTGTTCATTTGAGGAAGAGCGCGATCTATCCTGATGTGGGCAGCTCGACTGCTTTAAGACAAACTCCTAAGCTTTCACATACTTATTATGCACTACATTGCATTGGCATTATTACTAATTCTTTATGTTGATTTGAGCTTGATGTTTCAACGTCTTTAGCACATTTAAATGTGAGCGCGGGAAGGGTGTGCCTCGGCGGGGTGAAGGTTAGGGGCAGTGCGTGTGCACGCACTGTTGTATCAAGTAGCTTTTGTGTTATTTTAGTGTTAATAAATGTGTGGTTTTGGAGTTCAACTGGCTGGCAGCATTTCCATGGCAGCAAGACGGCACGAACCCTTCAACTTCCACGATGATTTTCACCACATCGTCAGGCACAAAAAAACTTTTACAGCACTTCTACGTAGTTTTCAGTGAGGATATTTTGGAATCATGTAGGAAAAATCCAACAGACCAATCAACTTTTTTATGCCCCACTGCAAATAAATTTGTATAAGACTCCTGATTCTCTCTGGTTAGAACAGGCCCATTCAGTGTTTTCATATAAGTCTGTTGTGACAGTACTTAGATATTACATACTCTTTTTACAACAGACTAAAATACTCTTCACTATGAAGGTCTGTTGTAATGGGGATATATTCTGTGTGTGTGTGTGAGCGCACTGCAATCGTGCCAAGACTCTTCGTCTTCCTCCCCTTCTCTACCTTTTACTAGTCCGTTACAATATATATATATATACAGTCGCCGACCGATTTTTCGGACCTGGCGGGGACCGAAAAAAAGTACGAAAAATCGAACAGTCCGAAAAATTCGTTTTCGCCAAAAATTTGAAGTTTATTGCATCAGGCAGGTTTAAAAAAGTCCTTGATGCTGCCTTGCCTCAAACTACGCTTTAAGGCAATTTGGTTTGCCCGTATTTGCGCCAAGGCGACATCGTCGCCGTAAACGCTCGACAAAATTGTCACCGCGTTGGCGATCTCCGCCGCCGACCGCCATCCGGCGTCGACCGTCATCCGGCGACATCTAGCTGCGAACGTCCACTCTCTATTAGCTTGATTATGGCAGCTTTCTTCTCCATCGTCAGGGTCGTATACTTCCCACGCTTCTTCACACCACCTGGCTCCCGCGATGGCAGAGATAGCGGAGCCATGGCACCGAGAACACAAAATTCGATGCCGCAGATAGCCGCTGCGAAGCACACAACGTCTCGACGCTACGCGACGCAGCACGTGCAGAATGGCGACTGAAAAAAGCTGCAACGACAATAAAAGAATCCTTCTTTCGCCTCCTCCCCGTGCGATGTGATGACGATAGTGCTGACCGAAGACGAAAAAACGGCATCCATCACCGCGTCTTTTAAAAAGCAAACACGGCCTCCGAAACTTAAAATATGGCGTGCGCATTCAAATCTCGGAGGCAGGAAAGGCATTTGAAGACCAAGCTTAGCCAAGCCGACGGAAAATCCAACATGGCGGCGTTCACAATGGCTTGGGGTGTGGCACAAAACGAGCGATTTAGTCCGAAAAATCGAACTTTCAGGGGCAAATTCGCCCGAAAAATCGGTCGAAACAATGCATTAGCTCTATGGGATCCCTGACGGTGCATTTATGAAGTCCGGAATATCCAACAAGTCCGAATTTTTGGAGTCCGGAAAATCGGTCGGCGACTGTATATTGTAAGAATTCATTGGATGTCATCTTCCTCATCTGTCAATAACCATCATCAGTCTTCGCCCGTTCCGCTTCATCATTGGCGCCATCTTAATGTTGCTTGAATAAAGCGTCAGCTGAACCGTTGTATTTCAAGTGGTGGAAGGTGCTTCCCGATCTCTTCGACCTCTCTCCATCCAAAGCAAGCTCCTGGAGCTCCTGGAGCTCCGTTCGGGACGTCGCTTACGCCAGCAGAGCACCATGGCACAAAAGCAAGCCCAACCGAACCACTCGCCGGCGCAACCACCAGCCGCCAACCCTAGCCCGGTCAACAACCCCCCTCAGGAGCCTCCAATCTTCTCCGGTCTGCCTAGCGAAGATGTCGAAGACTGGCTCGACAACTATGACCGTGTAGGTGTCTACAACAACTGGAACGAGGCATCGAAATTAGCACGCGTCCAGTTTTACGTCTCTCAGGTTGCCAAGATGTGGTTCCGATTGGTCTTCCTTCAAAGACCAGCTCCGACGCATTTTCGGCACACCGACCGTCCGTTCAGAAGTTGCTCGCAAGAAACTAGCAGAACGGGTTCAACATTGCGGTGAGTCTTACACTTCCTATATTGAGGATGTGCTTGCACTTTGCCGCCGTATCGACGACACCATGCCAGAAGGTGATCGTGTCCGGCACCTTCTGAAGGGTATCGGACCTACCGCTTTCAACGCCCTCGTCGCGCACAACCCTTCGACGGTTTCAGACGTCGTCTCTGTATGCCAGAGTCTTGATACCTTGCAGCCAATCCGCCTGCTACCCGACTTCTGTGAGAGCCCCCTGGCCAACAGTATGGAGCTCCGATCCATCATTCGGGCCATAATTCGTGAGGAATTGCAAGCCTACAGTTTACCTCCTTCTAACAACGTTCCCGCTCAACCCGCCTCTAGCGATCTGCGTGACATTATTAGGGAAGAAATGTCAGCGTTTCAAAGCACCCACCGTGCTCCACCGTGCTCCACCATGCCCCCAACCCGCTTCGTATGCACAGATCGCTTCAATGCAACCCTCGCCGTCTCAAGTACCACCACCTGTGCCTGATCATGAACATGTCGCACCTCTAGTCGCCCGTCCACCGAACCCAACCTACCATTCTTCCTGGCGGGCCCCACGGCCTATTTGCTACTACTGTGGAATTCAAGGACACATTTCCCGGGTCTGTCGACGTCGGCAGCAAGATGAACGTCGTGGTTATGCCGCTTTTGAACGAGACGACACATGTGCTCGAGGTTACTACCGTTATGCCGACCGTCGTTCCAACCACCGATCACCGTCTCGTGTGCGCATTTCCAACACGACCAACAATACACGTGCATCCCGACCACGCTCCCCATCGCCACTCAGACGCTCTGTATCACCACTTCGGCCTGTCTCTCAACTGGCTGCCCAGCGATCAGAAAACTAAACAGTGCAGTTTTTGGAGGGAAAACTGCATCGCGGTGAAATGACCCAAGTCCTCCTAAACGACCGTCAAACATGTTATTGGTAACTGTGTAAGGTGTGCGGGTGTTGGTTTTGGTGGACACGGGAGCAACTATTTCAGTTATGCGTGCCGACTTGTGTTCTCGATTGCGGAAAGTGAAGACACCCTACCTTGGATCATCTTTGATTGGGGCCAATGGAGCAATAATTAGACCATCGGCCCAATGTACAGCGCGTCTTCATTGATGGTATTCGTCATCACATCACCTTCGCTGTCTTAATTTCATGTGCTCATGAACTAATGTTAGGTTGGGACTTTCTCTCATCAGCATCTGCATTAATTTCTTGCCGTCAACGTGTCGTCGAAATGACCGAGACCGATCACTGCAGCGAACACATCGACGAAAAACCATTGCGTTTCTTCACAGCTTCCGAATCCATACTGCTCCCGGGTCAGGAGCAACTCATCACCATCACTTCTCCGAATATTGCCAATGGTGACGTCCTTATCACCCCTTCCAGCAGCTGTCTAGCTCACAGCGTTGTAGTCCCCTCCAGCCTGGTGTGGTTCAAAGACAGTGCTGCGATAATCCTTGGCCTGAACGCTACCCCAGAGCCTGTCCTCCTACCCCAAGGTTCTGCAGTGTCATGTTATGTGGATACCCAACCGTTATATTTGGTCTCTCTTGACGCCTTGACAGCTCAGCCACAACAGGCTCAGTCTGTTGCTTCCTCCTCCTTTGCTCCCGGGACAAATCCTGACCTTTCTGCTTCTCAATGTGAGGTGTTGCTAAATTTGCTAACGAAACACCAGGCCTCCTTCAACGCCAATGCTTCGGCACTAGGACAGACCACAGTTGCGCATCATCGCATCGACACTGACGGTCAGACTGTTGTACGCCGTCGTCCCTACCGAGTCTCCTTGGCCGAGCGCAATATCATCGAGGAGAACGCGACCTATATGCTAAAAAGAAACATCATACGACCCTCTACCAGTTCTTGGTCATCACCCGTTGTGTTGGTACAAAAGAAGGATGGATCGGTACGATTTTGTGTTGATTACTGCGCGCTCGACAAGATTACCCGAAAGGATGTATATCCGATGCCTTGTATAGATGATGCACTTGACTCATTGCAAGGCGCCCAATACTTCACCATTGACCTTCGGTCCGGGTATTGGCAAATACCAATGGACGAAGCAACGAAAAGACCACCTTTTCAATGCAGGACGATCTTTACGAGTTTAACGTAATGCCATTTGGCCTATATAATGCTCCCACCACATTTGAAAGGATGATCGACACTGTTCTTCGTGGCCTCAAGTGGAAAACTTGTCTATGCTAACTCGATGATATCGTCGTGTTTTCTTCCACTTTTGCTGATCATCTGCAATGCCTAGATCAAGTGCTCACATGTCTCTCCAATGCTGGATTTCAACTAAACACAAAGATGTGCCATTTTGGCAACACAGCTATAAAAGTTCTAGGACATCTCGTTTGTAAAGATGGCATCCAGCCCGATCCTGACAAAATTTCTGCAGTCCTCAACTTTCCGCGACCCTTTCGCTCCAACGAACTACGCAGTTTCCTTGGACTCGCATCGTACTTTCGCCGTTTCATTCGCAACTTTGCCACTATTGCCGCTCCTCTCCACAAGCTCCTTGCTAGTACCGGTTCCTTCGATTGGAATGATCAATGCGAAGCCTCATTTCAAGAACTCAAGCAGGCACTGACATCCCCACTGGTGCTTTGTTATTTCGATGACAGGGCACCTACGTTATTACACACTGACGCTAGTGGACAAGGAATCGGCGCCGTACTCCTCCAGCGTGACCATGCCTTTCGCGAGAAAGTTGTCGCGTATGCAAGCCGCACTCTGACCTCTGCAGAGAAGAGGTACTCGATAACCGAACAAGAGTGCTTGGCTGTTGTCTGGCCCATCCAAAACTTTCATCCGTACCTACATGGTCGACATTTTACTGTTGTGACAGACCACCATGCTCTTTGCTGGTTGTCCTCAATCAAAAACTTGTCCGGATGACTTGGCCACTGGATTCTCCGATTACAATCTTATGACTTTGACGTCATCTACAAGACTGGAAGACAACATCAAGATGCCGACGCTTTGTCACGATGCCCTTTGCCGCAGTTTTCGGCGCACGTCACAGCCCCTTGTCAAATTGGTTATACGGAGGACGCCTGGTCGATATCAGCCATTTCTTCCCTACCTTCATCCACCCGTCCGTCAGTACTTATCACTCACCAGCGAGCCGATTCTTATTGCACTGACATCATCGGTCGGCTTGCCGGCGCTTCATCTTCCCCTAATGCCAGGCTCCGGAAACAACTCAGACTATTCAAGTTGGAGGACGATGTGCTATATCGATACATTTTCCACCAGGAAGGCCACTGATGGGTTCCCGTCGTACCACGCGCACTACGCAATGAAGTTCTGCGCGCTTCCCACGACGACCCGACGTCAGGACACTTGGGTTACTACAAAACATACGAGCGCACCCGCAGTCGATTCTTCTGGCCAGGTTTTTCCACGACGGTAGCTAAATATATTGCCTCGTGCGCACTTTGCCAACACCGCAAGCGGCCCACTACTGCTCCAGTCGGGACCCTACAATCACTTCCTTGTCCATCAGAGCCGTTTTCTGTCGTCGGAATTGACCTCTTCGGGCCCCTCCCAACTACATCAGACGGCAAGAGATGGATCGTCACCGCCGTTGATCACTTGACCCGGTACGCTGAGACAGCCTCGATCACTTCAAGAACTGCTTCGGAAGTAACAACTTTCTTCTTGAATGCTATTTACCTACGTCACGGAGCCCCTCGTGTTCTTTTGAGCGACCGGGGCAAGGCATTTCTTTCAAGCACGCTCACTGAAGTTTTTCAAGTATCAAAAACAGTTCATAAAACAACATCTAGCTATCACCCGCAAACCAATGGCTTAACGGAAATATTTCATCGCACACTGTGTGACATGCTGTCCATGTATATCCGACTGGACCATCGCAATTGGGATGCCATACTTCCCTTTGTCACGTATACATATAATACGTCAGTTCAACGAACCACAGGCTATTCTCCATTTTTCCTAGTATACGGACACCAACCGACATCACCACTCGACGTTTCATTCTTTTCTGGCCCCGTCAACTCTTCACCATTCGTTTGCAACCAGTTTCTGTACCGTGTTGCTCGATGCCGTCGTCTTGCCCGTGTAAACACCGAAGCTAGCCAAGAAGATCGCAAACATCGTTACGGTGCCACTCACCGCGTCGTTTTCTACCGCCCTGGCGACGATGTACTTCTGTGAACTCCTGCCCGAATGCCTGGCTTATGCGAGAAGCTTGAGTCACGCTATTTTGGACCCTACAAAGTTGTCGAACAGACCTCACCAGTGAACTACCTTGTCGCACCTGTTCATGTCCCCACTTACCAACGCTGCCGCGGGACAGAGATTGTGCACGTTTCGCGTCTCAAGCCCTATCGTATGCGTTCCCCAGCGTAATTCGCGGCCAGGCTGGCCGCTTCCGTCGACGGGGGAAATTAGTGTAAGAATTCATTGGACGTCATCTTCCTCATCTGTCAATAACCATCATCAGTCTTTGCCCCGTTCATCATCATCATCGGCGCCATCTTGCTGTTGCTTGAATAAAGCGTCAGCTGAACCGTTGTATTTCAAGATATATATATGCTCACGGCTGGTTATTTTCTCACCCACTTTTCTTTCTTCTTATTTACATTACATTTGTTCTAATAACTGCCCCTATACATTCCTTGGCATCATTGTCTGTTAGATCTCATCATATTGTGTCAAAACACTGAAAAACAAGCCCTTAGTTATACACCTCTTCCCTTATATATATATATATATATATACACACATACACACACACATTTTTTTAGAAAGACATGCATGAAAGTGTTCACGTTGAGAGAGCTCTGAGAAAATGCGCAAGGATTACATACATGGCACATACTAATGAACTCATCTTTGCCCCTTTGCTTCAAACTAGGAGCTCTACGCATAAGTAGGTGTACCACGTATTGTCCCCATGCATTACACCCAAAACTGTGTGCAGTAATCCAGGCAAGCACAGTGATTTATTATGAGCAACAACCCAAGGAGAGGGCCATAAGTACTAGCACACAATTGTTGGTCGCTGTCAAACAGCAAGACCAGTCCATTACATGCACTGAAACTACGACAAATACTCACCAGCTTCAGCTCAATTTTCCGGCTACCAACATTGTTTTTCGTGGCTGCCAGGGAATTGTCAATGAGCTCTGCAAATGCGTATGCTGAAGAAAAATAATGTCACAAGTAATTAAAATAGACAAAGAAAACCACAAAAAAGGCAGTCAACAGTACACGTCACACCCACTTTGCCAGACTAACTTCCAAAGTACAAAGCTTCTATGTCCGAAATGTAACACTTTTCCCTTATATGCTGGCCTTTGCTTCCAATGCGGCTGTTACCAGCAGTGAAGTGCACTAACCCTTCTCGGTCCATTGCAGAGCCCTGTCTGACAATATGCTTTCAGCCACCATCCCAGAATCTATGCAGGAGAATTTCACGGGTTTTATCGCTGCAATGCACATGCATTCGCCCCATTCATGGTGCACCATCTCCTAATGAGTGATAAGCGAAGTTCATTCTGTATATGAAGGGTTTTCTTTCACCAGAGAAGACTGTTTCTGGTGATAAAAAAAACTAAAAAAAAGGTGGGTGTGCTTCCACAAACTGATAAAATATCATCTTAAAGGAGTTGAATATAGAATGCCACAGAAAAAATACATCTTGCCTTTTTCTTGCACCACTAGTGCATTTCTTTGCAGCACCAGAAACTAGCAAAAAGAAACTTTTCAGACCGAAGCAGCCATAAATATGGCAAAAGTATTGGAATGCAACAGGTTAGCCCTTTCTATGAATCAACTTACGCAAACTTGCCCTGCAGCACTGCAGCACAAAAGCACTTGAGGACCCCTTACTAAGCTAAAGCTAGACTTGAGACAAATGTCAAAATGTCTGCGTAAAATTACGATATTCTTTGAGGTCACACATGACCAAGAACGCTGTCTCAACTCACGCAGTGGATTCTGTCCTTCAGAAGCATAGTATTCATACATGCCAGATTTGATGATGGTGTCATAATGTGGCAAGTACTCCACCTGTAGAGGATTAAAATGAACTTTTAGTGTCATGTTGCAAGACAGCCTGTAATTCACAACTTTCAAAATCACGTGCAATTCAGTGCCAACATTTACTTAAAACTAGAGAGAGCCGGAACGAGTGCATAAAATGAACAACAAAAGCACATGGAAGTATCTTGGTACGAACGAACCTGTCATTCAAGCAACGCAAGCGCCAGTCAAGTATGCAGCCGAGCATTGTTATGAATTGGTACCATGCATATGACAAACTCACCTTCTGAAACGTTTGTCCTGTGAGCTCTTGGTCAATGTTCTTAAGCACGTACAAGGTCTCGCCCCCTTCAAGTTTGTCTGAAAAAAAAAAAAAAAAAAGTTCAGAACTGATCAAATTTCTCTTGAAACCAATGTTTTTGGAGATGCCAATGACATGCTCCCCAGCCTTAGAATGTTTTAAACATTTGCATTAAATTAGTACACCAGGTGAGCTGCTTAACCATTGTCAGCATTAAATCAAGTACCATGGAGACATAAGAGTATATAGTCACTGTTCAACAAGTTCCTTATCTTCACCTTAGATATTTTAGATATTTGCGTTTTCTGAATACCCTTGGCCATACAGTGAAACCCCATTCGAGCCGCCACTCACCACGCAGAGCAACAGAGGATACGAAAACCCCAATCAACCCTAATTGGCAGCCCCCCGAAACGCGTACCGGTCCCATACGTTCAGAGAATCAGCAAGATGTTGGCGCGGATCTTCAAGAAGGAAGGGGTTCGCATCATGCACGTGCCTTCGTGTGCGCTGGGCCGCCTCTTCCCCCGCCCAAAAGACCGGCCAACAATGAACAGGGCCCCCACTGTTGTTCACAAAATTCTGTGCAAAATCGGCGACACTAAAAATCTAACGGAACGACTGAAGCAACTCGCCACTAATGTACAGAAGCTCTACAAAGAGCGCAGTGCAGTCGCCGAACATGCTGAGACGTTAGATCATCAGATAAATTTCGAAGCAACGGCCATCCTTGAAAGCGAGCCGAACTGGAGGAGAAGGTTATTACTCGAGTAATGGCACAGCCCATAACATCAACCGCTCTCTCAGAACCCTTCTCCCAGTGTATATACATGGACTTCGCTCCACGGCAAAACAAGAGAAAGAGAGAGGGGGTCATTATCCGCCCCGCGAGTACTTTGAAGACGCCGGTGCTACGCAGCCCCGCAGTCACCCCCAAGGAAGGAACCAAGTCAGTTTTGAAACATCGGATTTCTTCAAAACTTTTGTTTGGAATCTAAATCATCTCCCAGTGAAACCCCGATTATATGACTTTCAGGGGAGCACGAAAAACCGTCGCATAATTGAAAGACTAAAAATATAGGCAGTGGCATTCATCCTTGCACAAAAAATGAGCACATAGTGCCCGAATAAACTCACGACGCAACCTCGTGCTTATCCCAAAAAAGGTAGATTAAATTATTCTTGCCAATGGCAGCTTTACTTTGCTGAAGCAGGTGCGATAAATTCTTTCTTTCCGACTTTGAAAAATCGAATTCAACGTGCTTCTTTCTCCTGATAAATTGAGTCCAAGAATTGCCTGCGCATGAAAACGATACGAAAACCACGTTGCCAATAGCCTCCCATCAGAAGAGTTAGACACAGTGTCATCGGCAACAGACCACCAATTCATGAGGTAGCATAGAATGCCTTCGTGCTCCACCAAGCTCTTGTAATTTCTTGCCTTATTACGTGACTCCAGTGATGTCCCACTGTTAGGATGAATGTCGACATCAAGTGAGAGTTATTTTGCACGGTAGAAATAACTGCATCACACCCTTCTGTATGCTCACGTTAGTGACTGTGAGTGCCACAAACCAAAGCAGGAGATCAGCGGTACATCAACCAGGAACTCCAAGTGAGCTTGGGGAAGCATGCAACTCATACATCATCATCATCGTCATCAGCCTGACTACGTCCACTGCAGGACAAAGGCCTCTCCCATGTTCCGCCAGTTAACCCGGTCCTGTGCTTGCTGCTGCCAATTTACACCCGCAAACTTCTTAATCTCATGTGCCCACCTAACCTTGTCTCCCCCTAATCCGCTTGCTTTCTCTGGGAATCCAGTTAATTACCCTTAACGACCAGCGGTTATCCTGTCTACGCGCTACATAACCGGCCCATGTCCATTTCTTCTTCTTGATTTCAGCTATGATATCCTTAACCCCCGTTTGTTCCCTAATCCACTCTGCTCTCTTCTTGTCTCTTAAGGTTACGCCTACCATTTTTCTTTCCATTGCTCGCTGCATCGTCCTCAATTTAAGCTGAACCCTCTTTGTGAGTCTCCAGGTTTCTGCTCCGTTGCTAAGTACCAGCAAAATACAGCTGTTGTATACCTTCCTCTTGAGGGATAGTGGCAATCTACCTGTCATAATTTGAGAGTGCTTGCCAAATGTACTCCACCCCATTCTTATTCTTCTAGTTACTTCAATCTTGTGGTTCGGCTCCACGTTTTTACCTGCGCTAAGAAGACATAGTCTTTTACAACTTGAAGTTCACTATTACCTATCTCGAAGCGCTGCTCTTTTCCGAGGTTGTTGTACAATTTACTTTCGTTTTCTGCAGATTCATTTTAAGACCCACCTTTCTGCTCTCCTTGTCTAACTCCGTAATCATGAGTTGAAATTCGTCCCCTGAGTTACTCAGCAATGCAATGTCATCGGCGAAGCGCAGGTTACTAAGGTACTCTCCATTAACTCTTATCCCTAACTGTTCCCATTCTAGGCTTCTGAAAACCTGCTGTAAGCAGGCGGTAAATAGCATTGGGGAGATTGTGTCCCCCTGCCTTACACCCTTCTTAATTGGTATTCTGTTGCTTTCTTTATGAAGCACTATGGTAGCAGTTGATCCCCTGTAGATTTCTTCCAGGATGTTTATATATACTTCATCGACGCCCTGATTCCGCAGTGTCTGCATGACGGCTGATATTTCTACTGAGTCAAACGCTTTCTCGTAATCTATGAAGGCTATGTATAGTGGTTGGTTATATTCTGAGCATTTCTCTATTACCTGATTTATAGTATGAATGTGGTCGATTGTTGAGCAGCCTGTTCGAAATCCTGCTTGTTCCTTTGGTTAACAGAATTCTAGTGTTTTCTTTACTCTGTTAGCAATTACCTTTGTAAATAGCTTGTATACTACAGAGAGCAAGCTAATTGGCCTGTAATTCTTCAAGTCCTTGTCATCTACTTTCTTATGTATTAAGATGATGTTAGCGTTCTTCCAAGACTCTGGTACCCTTCCCGTCAGGAGACACCTCGTAAACAGGGTGGCTAGTTTTTCTGGAGACACCTCGTAAACAGAGTGGCTAGTTTTTCTAACACAATCTGTCCCTTCATCTTTCAGCAGATGTGATGTTACCTGATCCTCTCCAGCAGCTTTGCCTTTTTGCATGCTCTCCAAAGCTTTTCCGACTTCTTCTATCATTACTGGTGGGGTGTCATCTGGGTTACTGCTAGTTCTTATAGTATTAAAGTCGTGGTTGTCCCGGCTACTGTACAAGATCTCTGTAAAATTCCTCCGCTATTTTAACTATCCTATCCATATTGGTAGTTATTTTGCCTTCTTTGTCCCTTAGTGCATACATCCGATTTTTGCCTATCCCAAGTTTCCTCTTCACTGCTTTAACGCTTCCTTCGTTTTTCAGAGCGTGTTCAAGTCTCTCCATGTTATACCTTCTTACATCGGATACCTTACGCCTATTAATCAACTTCGAAAGCTCTGCCAGTTCTATTTTGTCTGTTGTACTTGAGACTTTCATGATTTGACGCTTCTTAATGCGATTCTTCGTTTCCTGAGAAAGCTTGCCAGTGCCCTGTCCCACTACCCTGCCTCCAACTTCCACTGCACACTCCGTAATGATACTCGTCAGATTATCATTCATTGTATCTATGCCAAGGTTGGTTTCCTCACTAACACTCCGTAATGATACTCGTCAGATTATCATTCATTGTATCTATGCTAAGGTTGGTTTCCTCACTAAGAGCCGAGTGCCTGTTCTGAAGCGAGACTCTGAATTCCTGTACTTTCCTTCTCAGTGCTAGCTCGTTGATTGGCTTCTTGCGTATCAGTTTCTGTCGTTCCTTCCTCAAGCCTATAGGCGAATTCGAGACCATACCATTCTATGGTCACTGCATCGTACCTTGCCAACCACTTCCACATCCTGCATGATGCCTGGGTGTGCACTCATTATAAAGTCTATTTTGTTCTTATTTTCGCCATTAGGGCTCCTCCATGTCCACTTGCAGTTTCCTCGTTTTCGGTAGAAGGTATTCAAAATCCGTAAATTATTGCGTTATGCGAATTCTACTAGTAGCTCTCCTCTGGCGTTTCTAGTACCGATGCCATAATCTCCCACTGCCTGGTCTCCAGCCTGCTTCTTCCCTACCTTTGCATTAAAGTCTCCCATAAGTATTGTATACTGTGTTTTTACCTTACTCATTGCCGATTACACGTGTTTATAGAAGCTTTCAACTGAAGCGTCATCATGGCTGGATGTAGGCGCGTAAGCCTGTACCACCTTCATCTTGTATCTCTTATTCAGTTTAATTACAATACCTACCACCCTTTCATTAATGCTATAGTATTCCTCTATATTGCCAGCTATGTTTCTGTGAATTAGGAACCCCACTCCCAGTTCTCTTCTCTCAGTCAAGCCCCGATAGCAAAGCACATGCCCATTCTGTAGCACCGTATAGGCCTCATCTGAGGAGCAACGATGGCGTAGTGGTTAGAGCATTTGTCTCGCATGCAAAAGGCCCGTGGTTCGAATCCCGGTGCCGCGCAGTTTCCAACCAGATAAAAAAAAAATCCGCGTAGTGATGGAACTGCATTACGAGGCCTGGGATGCGGCCTCACCGGTAACCACCGCCGGGAACGCACTCCCTCACCAGAGAAGAATTGGCCACCCTGGTGCAGTATCTGGCCACTACCTCACACATGCATACGTCAAATAACTCACGGCCCTCAGTCCCCAGCTGCTGCGAAGCAACTGACCACGGCGGCGGTCAGATCTGCAACGCAGCAGAGGGTGCTAAGAATTTCTGAATCCGGACAGGCCGCCATAGGAACCTGAACTTGGCAATTTTTAACGCTAGAACCTTATCTAGTGAGGGAAGTCTAGCTGTACTATTCGAGGAGCTAGAGGGTGTTAAATGGGATATAATAGGGCTCAGTGAGGTTAGGAGGACAACTCATACAACCACGTAACAAACAAACCTGGCACCTAGGCAGGCTGCATAGGCCTAGCGTACAAAATGCGAGGGGCCAAGGCAGGCACAAAAGCTTACGCTCGCCTTCACCC